ATATATATACTTATATTTATATTTTATATATATTTGCCAACATTTAAAGTGAGAAAGTATATTTTCCTCAATTCTTTCCCAAAACAAAGAACTGGGGATAAAAACAAAAACCCCAAACAATCCCTCTCCTTCTCAACCCCCCATGAATGATACTTGTGGCCCAAACACTAAAGTCTAGTGATGCTCTTGAAAAGCCCACTTCACATCCTCCTCTTTTCAAATGGTTACCTCAAACAGAATGGAGAGTAAGCAAGAGGAAAAAAAAAACAACAACCAAAGAAAGAAGTATATTTAAATATTACCCAGTATATAACAGACTGTACTTGTGTCAGTGAAGAATCTTCAAGAAAATAAAGTGTAAGTCATACAAATGTAGCTCTGTTGACAAGTATAGCTAGTATTTCCTTGTAATTATTAAGATAATTTGAAAGGATGTGAACACAAACAGGCTACATGAATGCAGTATATTAAAATCTCCCCTGGAGCACATTACAATCAATAAAAAGAAAATAAAATCTGAATAATACTAGAGGTAGCAGCTGTTTGTATTTTCCATTTTTCTCAGTATCTCTGGAGTCCAACCCTTCGAACATTGCTCCCCTGATAAAAGGCTTGTGTGCGATCAGCCGACATACAGCAGAGTGGTAAGCTAGATGTCTGCAATAGTGTTTGAAGTATCTTTCCTACTACAATGGAAGTAGTACTTGTAAAGAAGTGCGTTGACGACCTGTATTAAATCACAGCTCAAAAAGCTATGGCTGTTTGCTGCTTTACAAGCCACTTTTAAAAACAAAATTAAAAAATCCACAAGGTATTTAAGTAAGCTATGCAGTTCCACAACATATAAATAGGGTAAGTTTCACGAGTTCCATATAACCTCTAAAATATATGCTAGCTGAATATTAATGGAGTAACAATAATAATAATCGTAGTAATGCCTTAGGTCTGATATCACAAGAACGCCTTTCCTTCATATGGGATGATTCCTGGAGGATGTTGGTGGGATCTCTTCTATGTCTGGTAGAAGTGATGGTAGTGGTGGTGGTGCTCGTGGTGGTGGTGGTGTTCATGTCTTTGTATCATTTGTCCAACTTGGCCTTCATACAAAATGACTGTAGGCAGGTCTCTCACATGCTCCTTTTCCACAACTGTCCCTGGAGACTGGAAGCTTTTGCACATTTGGTGATTCTCCTTTGCCCTCTGCTTATGCTTCTTGTGAACCTGTTGAGACTGCAAGGGGAGGTAAGGAAGATTCTGACCCACCCGCGCACTTGGGGAAGCCATTGGCATGGGTGCCCCTTGAAAAGGTTTATTTCTAATTGCCCTTCCAGGATGCACAGGGGCAACGTTTTTGCCTTGGGCCTTGGGAGACCTCACAAAGTGCTTGTTTGAGTCCTGGTTCCGGAGCCTCTGTTGGATTTCTGCAATCTTGGCATAGGAACTTTCAGCCGGATTGATGTGGCTTGGATCTACCAGTTGAGACTTCCTATGGTGAGCATGGAAGGTTTCAGGTTCATGAGAACGGGATCTAGTCTGATTCACAACTCTGCTTGGTGCGTCATGTTTTTGAGCTGCTGGAGGAGATCCTAGGAAATAACAAGCTGAGTTAGTCATCTAGTATTTCAAAGTTTTAATTAGTAGCATGCAGTTGGCAGAGACAGTATTATCAGCAGAGTGAGTTTTTCCTAAGGAAGTAAATGCAATTATAGCTGTCTAGTTTAATTACATTTAATAATTCTGACTAGTAAATAATACACACACAAATAGACATACATATCTATATACAAGCAAAGGTGCGTATGTGTGTATAAAAGTCTATCATCTCTTGGTCATCATCTATCTTAAATTCACCAAAATAATGGAACAGTAAAATATTGGCAGAGAATAGAGAAAGGGAGGAAATCCAAATCCCTTTAATTTGGGGACAGAGGCCAGAACTCCAGGCATGAACCCACACTCTCCTATTTTTGGGTCAGTAGTGAGTTAAAATATGTGCTGGTAAACACACTGAGTATGAGCTCCAACATCCAAAAATCAGTCCTCACCTCACCCATAGACTAAACTCCTAGGCTCACCTCCCAGTTTAGCTACACAAACAAGTACTTCCAAGCAGGCTTGCAGCACATTAGCCACTCTGTTGTGACACCACCTTCACCAGTAAATAACGTGCAGTATTCACACAGTCCTATTCCTTCCGTAAGTCACTACAGACAAATCATACACATTCACAATTCACTGCCCCAATGTACAACACACAACTGAAGAAAGAGAAGATGAAAGGATTGCAGCACAGATTACCAAATTACCTGGACCAAACTTTGATGTGTAGTTTTCTATTCCTGCAAGATCCAAATAGTGGTTTCTCCTTTCAATGTTCTCATCAACACAATGACGATAGCACCCACTTTGCTCTGGATTGTTCTCACTCTGGTGATATCTGTCAGCA